ATTGCTTCCTCGGTGATTTTCCGCTTGGATGACCTGCCCACTGCGGTAAGTGGGGGGTTAAAGTCTTCTTCTGTTATTGTGTTATTATCAGTGACTTTACGTTTGTGATTTTTTGGTGTGTATATTCGGGTTCTGCCAAGTTGGGGACGTAAATGTTCTTATTCCCCCGTAAAGAAAGCGTGTGCTGTCTGTTTCCATCTCTGTCTTCACCCCAAGCCACTTCCTTGACCTTAGACTCGTGGAGTCCGCTGCTTGCCGGACATCCAGGAGCATGTCTCTCAGGTACCCGGCACTCAACATGGCCAAGGTGGAACTCACCGTCTCCATTCCCTCCTGGATGAACCACCCATCTCGGGTGCCAACTGAGGTTCCTAATTCTGTCCCCCCCATCTGTATTTCCCATCCCAAAGGCTTATATCTTGGTCTGGCCGTTTGTCTGGACGCTCACACCGGCTTCCTCTAACTAGCCCTCCTGCCGCACTTGTTTCTTGCCCCCGAAGTCTTATCTACGTGGCCGTCAGAGCGGCCTTTGGCCCCAAAGCTTGTGTCTGCTCGGGTCACTGCCACATCTAATGGCTCCCATTACACGGAGTAAAGTCAGCAATGCTTGCAACTTGGTGGATTAGTCCCCGGCACGCCTCTCTGAGCCACGGTGCATCGCCCTGCTTCAAACTTTGCACCCACCACCTGGAACTCAGCATGGTTTCACATTTCCGGTGCCCAGCCCCCTCTAGCATGCTCTTCCTGTACACTCCATGCCTTTGAGAATGGAGGCACCCCTATCTGGAATGGTCTCTTCCTCATTCCTCTCCATCTCCTGCCTCACCACCCCTTCACACGTGACTTCTTCTTGCCCATCTTTCATAATCCATTTGGGTACCACCTCCCTCAGGCTGCCTTCTGGATTAGAAGCCTCTCCTTGAACTCCCGCAGTGTTCGGGCATCTCCGTATCGTGGAGCTCTCATCACTCTTCGCGTCTGTCTTTCACCAGATGATGAGCCTGGGGGGTGTCTTATTCCCAGTGTCCAGCACAATAAATATTAAATGAGAGAATACTGAGGTGTCACTTACAATAGCCAAACATATGGAAAAGAGCAAAATCGACTCCCGGCGTTTCATTTTCTGGTGTAAGGAGGAACAGAATTCCTTGTTAGATCAGCTAATCTAATAAGCAGAGAAAGAATGTTCTCATGAAATTATGCATTCACCTTCTGTTTTCATTTGCTGACATAGAGCATCCATCTAATTGGATTTTTCTCCTTGGGGAAATCTAAAGGAAATGGGTCCCTTGCTGTTCCATTTCCAATATGGCCGTTGTCCACCTCCGCTCTTTTCTCATGGGACCTTTGACTGCTAGCCCCTTTTAAATTAGACGCACGTCTGGGGCACCTGGGTGGCTCAGTCGGTTGAGCGTCCGACTTCGGCTCAGGTCATGATCTCGCGGTCTGTGAGTTCGAGCCCCGCGTTGGGCTCTGTGCTGACAGCTTGGAGCCTGGAGCCTGCTTTGGATTCTGTCTCCCTCTCTCTCTGCCCCTTCCCCCCTCCTGCTCTGTCTCTCTCTCTCTCTCTGTCTCTCTCTCTGTCAAAAATAAATATACATAAAAAAAATAAAAATAAATCAGACACACGTCTGAGAAAGTCTCAAGTGAGCACATCCTCAGTTTCAGCCGTGGCTTCTCAACAAGTCGTGGTCCCTGGGAAAGACATGGGGCACGGGTTACCCAAGCTGAGAGGGGACAGTCCTAGACAAAAAGAATACGCCTACAGCATTTGCCCGAAATTCAGTCCTTCATCCATCCATCCATCCATCCATCCATCCACTCGTCCATCTGTTATTCCTCTTGTCCACAAGTTTACTGACTGTCCTCTACCAAAAGTTCATTGTCCAATTCCTGGCTTTCCTGGTGGATTTCCCATGTCCCCCATACATGAAGCAAGTCTCCTCCTTGGACATCCATCTAAACTAGCTTTCAGTTAGAAAGCCTTAAAGTATTATCTCTTTGTGGTATAAATTATATCTCTACGCTTTGTGTTACAAATTATTTTTCTACAAACTCCTATGTGTGTTACTCTTCTTAGTATTAGGTTCATTCAAAATAAGGATCCCTGGGGCGCCTGGGTGCCTCAGTCGGTTGAGCGTCTCAGGTCATGATCTCGCAGTTCATGAGTTTGAGCCCTGCGTCCGGCTCTGCGCTGACAGCTCAGAGCCTGGAGTCCGCTTCGGATCCTGCGTGCCTCTCCCTCTCTCTGCCCCTCCCCCCACTTGCTTTTTCTCATGAATAAATAAACATTAAAACACATAAGGATCCAGCACCGTTAAGCACAGAACTACTAAAGTGTCAACAAAATATAAGCAAAATAATAAAATTATGAACGAACAGTAAATAATATAAGTAATAACAATATAACTTGAATTGTGTTAAATCTTCTTCTCCTCTGTGATCTCGAAGCTGACCGAGCCCTCTCTCCCCAGGAGCACTGAGGCTGTTCCAGGCCCTTCCTCGTGTAGCCAGGGCTCCCACTCCTCCTCCCCATTCCCCTGCTCTGTGCGTCCTTCTGCCTGCTCCCCCCACCGCCTTGTCTCACCCCCTCTCTGCCCCTTTTTCCATCAGCCCCTCCACTTCCTCAAGCCCCTGCCTCATGATTTCACCTCCCATCCCCCTGCTTCCCTTTAGAACCACCGTCTGGAAAGACGCACTGACCATTTCTGTCCCCATCCCCTCAGCCTCCCCTGCAGCTGCCCCCGTCAAGGCCGCCAGCCTCCCACACCTCCCTGCCTTGCCCGTGCCCATCCTGGCAGGGCGAACCTGGGTGAACCTGCCCAGAGGATCCTGGGAAAGCTCACAGGAGGGACACGTAGAGGATGGGGATTCGAGACCAAAAGCAACACGGAGGCTGGCCCCCTCCAGCATGATCTGCGTGTTCCTGAGCAGAGGGAGGGGTGGGGCGGGGCGGGGCGGGAGGATCCTGGTACCTTAATCAGTGAGTGTGAGAGATCATCTGCCTTACGTTTTGGCACCATCTTCTTCCACCCTCGCTGGTGAGGAGAGCACAAGTCGGACCTCCGTGAGGGTCTAACTGATTTAAGCCAGGCGTTTCCGAAATATATTGAAGTCCATGTAAAACGGGGAAATTGCTTTCAGTTCTGGACTTGGCTGGGAGAGGAGCTAAAGAAATCGATTATGAGGAAAGTGTTCCTCGCCTGTTACATCAATAACCTCCCACTTCCGTTTCAACTCTACCCATTTGTCAGCACCCCGGATGCAAATCCTAACTCAAGCCAACTGAAGCAAAGGAGAGGGGGCTATTGAGGAAGGGGAGAGGCACAGTGGGTCCCCAGCACATGTGGAAAGTCTCCCCCATTGTCCCCTTTGTCAGGGCTGAGTGGTGGCTGTGTCTGGGCAGCGTCCTCTAAAGCAAGGCACCAGGCTGAGGGAACCCCTGTGAGCATGTTCTTGGAGCTTTGAGAACAGAGAGGCAAGACTTCTTCCCTGGAAGCCCCAGCTCACGGCGTGCCATAGGGGAGAGTTGTGGTTGGCCAGCTGGGGTCCCTGTTTCATCTCTGGACTGGAGACGGGGCCGCCCCCCAGCCGATGGTGTGAGGCTCATTCTCTGGAGGCTGGGGAGGGGGAGACAGCCACTGCCAGTCATTGCCACCCCCCGCAAAGTCCAGTATTTACAGCAACTCTGGGACACCTGGGTGGTTCAGTCGGTTAAGCGTCTGACTCTTTTTTATTTGAGAGAGACAGAGTGTGTATGTGAGTTGGGGGTGGGGGGGGGGAACAGGGGCAGAGGGAGAGGGGGAGAGAGAGAGAGAGGGAGGGAGGGAGGGAGAGAATCTCAAGCAGGCTCCATGCTCAGTTCAGGGGCCCAACACGGGGCTCGATCCCACATCCCCGGGATCATGACCTGAGCCGAAATCAAATATCGGACACTCGGCCAACTCAGCCACCCAGGTGCCCCGAGCATCTGACTCTTGATCTGGCTGAGGTCGTGATCTCACAGTTGTGAGAATGAGGCCCCCCTCGGGCTCCTCGCTGGGCGTGAAGCCCTGCTGGCGATTCTCACTCTCTCTCTCTCTCTCTCTCCCTCTGCCCCTCCCCCATGCCCCTGCCCACTCGCCTTCTCTCCCTCAAAATAAATAACTAAATGTCATTAAACGGAGTTCAAAAAATAATAATAAAATAAAATAAAGTCAACGACACGTTGCCCAGGCAGATACAACGCAGGCTCCGTGTGGGACTCTCTCCCCTCTGACACCAGCTTGGCTCCCCAGATTTCACAGCTCAGATCTCCTGGCCTCGCCATCGTCTGCCCAGAATTCCCTTCTGCTCCCGCCTCGCTCTGTCCGGCCGGCTGTTGTTCTATCTGCAGGCTTCCTGTGTGAAGTTCTCCTTCCACGGCATTCCATTCATCCACCTTCCTCCTCTCCCGCGCCACTGCTTTGAACAGTTTGCTGTCGTCCCAGACGCTTCTTTGACATGTTAATATTGATAGCTGGTTCTCTCACCGGAGGGTGTCCCCGCAGGGGTGATAGCCTGGATCCAGAATTATCGTCCCAACAGGTGGCTTCGCCCCTGCTTCTAGATGGCGGGGTCCTTTGTGACTGCCAGGCAGATAACTCTCCCAGCTTGCAAACCGGCATATGCCGTCCGTGGAAGAGCGGGTGCCTGTGTGTGTGTGTCCCCACGCGCACGTGCACGTGGGGGCCTGGGTCCCTGGGCGCACACGCCTGGAGTGTGCTAGAAGAAGGAGGTGAGGGGGGATGGGTGAGGGCTCCACGTGTACCGTGGGAGCTGTTGTTCAAGGCCCACGTGTCTGAGTCCTGCCTGTCTGGGTCTCCTCCTGACTGCTTCCCGAATAGGTGGAAGGTCCTTTGGGAGCCTCACGGGGTCACCTGTCACATAAGGGCGGGTCAGCTGCTGGCTGCCTTGTTCGCAACATGTCCGTACGCTTCTCCACTCATCCTTTTATCTCGTTTGTCTTTCTTTTTCCACAGAGGCCTCATCTCTAACAGCTTCACAGAAACCCATTATCTGCTGGATGGCACCGATGTCTCCCTCACTCGAAATTACACGGTAAGTCCGGCGGCAAGGCCACCACAACACCATGCACGCCGTCACGTCTGTGCTTAAACTTTGTAGCCGTTTTATCCTAAGTGAAGCCACATGCCCAGAGGCTTCACTTAGGGACCACAGGGCACCTATGCATCACGTAGGCCTTAGGCATTCCGCTATAACTCCAGGAGAACTTGGCCTTGGCCAGCTTTGTGCCAGGATCGTCCTTGGAGATGTGGCCAACCTCGAAACCACCTTCCAACCACTAGGGGATGCTCGGTTGGGCAAATCCTTTCTAGAAAACCTAGCCACGTTTCAAGATGGCTTGGAAAGCAATTGTCCCTGGGCTGAATTTAGCTGTGTTATACTTTAAGTCCCTTAAAAACAATTCGAAGTAAAACTGACTCTGCTTAACCTATAAACGTATCCTGCCTATTATAAACGTAACCTACCTATTATAGGCGTGTCCACCAGAAATAAATGTATAAGCCATTTATCTATATGAATGATAAATCCACCATAAACACTTATGATCCTATATTATGGTGGTTACCATCATATGACATTTATCACTTTTAGCTTTCCCGGTATTTGAAGTTTTATGTGTATCTTGGAAAAGATGCTAATTTTATTTGTTCCTTTAACAAGTGTTTGCTGTGTTTTCTGTGTGCTCAGCCCGCGTGAACATGGGCATTTAAAAAGAGTTGCTGCCCTCTGAGGACTAGGAAAGCTAGTTTGGTTTTTTTTTTTCCAAAAAGCTGTGGATATTTGTTTTAACAAGAATTAGCTTGGAGGAAGGCTTTACATTTGCAGTTGAAGTGTCGTCAAGCAGCCGTCGTCGACCTGCCAGGTTTCTCCCTTTCTCTATCACTTGTGTGCATGTGGCACTTACAAACTGATGCCTTCAGACCCCCAGCAATTTGGTAGAATGACCCGACACTGACCTTCCAGCCTACAGAAAGCACATAGGAGTCCTGGATATAATATAACCATGTATGAACTTGTGTTACTACCTCGTCAAGTTTAGAGGAGAGTCCAAGAAATCCCCAAGAGGCAAAGACAAAGAAGGGGTATAGGCTCAGAGCAGTAAACTGGTGAGTGGGGGTCATGGGACCTCAAAGGGCTACTCAGGTCCCGAGAGAGGGACTGGTGCTTGGGACCGGGGACAAGAGAAGTGGGTGTCTACAACTGAGAGGTTTTGCAAAAGCTGGGCCCCCAGGAAGCGGCTTCCTCTGTGGGAAAGAACAAGAATGTCTAGTCTGGAGAAGGGACAACAGAGAGAACTGTGTCAGGGTATCCTGGACTGAAGAAATAGTTCACAAGAAAAAGAGAATTGAGAGCCCAGCTAGCCTTATAAGCGTATGTTTGCAGTGGAGTCGACTGGTGTTTATATGTCTGACGCCTACATAGAAATGCAATTCCCGGTCAATACATTAACATCCAAACTGGTCCCAAATCAGTAATCCTGGATCCCCTGGGCCCAAGCTGCAGCCAAGCCAAAATAGTAGAAATAGAGATATGTCTACAGCCGCGATCACATGAGATGCCCATGCCAAAAACAAAGAATAATAAAAATATTAGCAATGAGCCCCAAATCAAAATTGCAAAACACACAGTGAGAAAAGCCACGGTGAGTGAGCATCAGTGGACAAAGGGAACAAGAGAATCAGCACCTCAGGGAATGCAAGACAATACAAAAATCAGGGGAATTTGTAAATATTTTAAAGAGAACAGAATAGGCCTGATAGAAATTCCAGAGTGAAAATACAGAAAGAAAGAAAGAAAATTGGAAAGAAGTAATGTTTAAACGGTGTGATGAGAATGTTCTGGAACTGGAGAAAGATATGCACCCCAAGTAGGAAGAACAAAAAGCAGACTCACTCCAGGATGGCTTGTAGTACAACGGCAGACCCCTAAAGATGAAATCGTAACACCACCTGAGAGAAAAGAGACACTTGTGCAAAATGACAATTGCACCGACAAGAGACTTCTCGTTAGCAACTACAAAATTAGAATTCAGAGAGCCGCGGGAAAATTACAAAAATCATAGGAAAATACATTTGCACACAAAGAAAGAGAATGTGCTGCTCTCAGATTCTCACCAGGAGTATCTACCAAGGAAAAACTAACAAAGAATATTGCAGTAAGAAAGAAATAGAACACAAGAGCCAAGGATAGGCCGTTAGAGGCAATAGGAAACAGAGCCACTGCATGTGAGCAAATCTAAGTAAGCTATTTAAGATAATAATTACAACAATAATGACTAAATTTGGATGTTTTAAGACAAGATGAGCAAACATTTAAAACAGTTTAAGAATTTGTATTGTACTGGCGAATAATAGAGACACTGATTAACTTGAGATTTTGATAAATATGTATCTTGCTAATGTAAGTATAACCGCTAAAAGAATAGGAAAGCAGAATGTATAATTCCAAACAATAGATGGTCACAAAAATAGTATATCAGCTCAGTGGAGGGCAGGAAAGAAGGAAAAGGATTTGAAAAGCAGAGTAAATATAAAACACAAAATAATTAGCTAAAAATGAGTCAACATATTACTCTAATTATATGTAAATAGACTGAATCTGTTTGTTAAAGTAAAAACAGATTATCTGCTTAGAACTTAAAATGAAATCCAGCTACATAATTTTTACAAGATTCACACTCAAAATACAACATGGTTCTGAAAGGAATGGAAAATATATAGTAGACAGATATTAACCCAAAGAAAGCTACTGTCGTAGTATTAACATCAGGCAACCTAGATCATAAGGCCAAAAAAAGACATTATTATGGATAAAGGGACTGATTGCTTAACGATAAAAGGAACAATTCGAAAGGATGGAAAAATACTTGTGAAACTACATATACCAATGAAATAGCCTCAAAACATGTGAAGCAATAATCAAAACAGTTACAATAAACTGACAAATTCACCACCAGAGAGGGAGATTGAAATATACCTCTCTCAGAAATGAAGATTTTAATAGATGAGCAGAAACTAATGAGAAGGAAGGCCAAAAGGATGGAGAGAATCATTTAAGCCAAAAGGTGGTTCTTTGAAAATATTAATAAAACGAACAAAACCTAAATCTAATCAAGAAGACAGAAGAATTCGCAGGCGACGGTATTAACACAAGGATCGATGTCGCTATTGCCGTACAGAGATTCTGAGAATCACAAGAATGTTATCGACAATACTAACCATTTCTTAAAAATGTAAATTCTGGGGGTGCCTGGGCGGCTCAGTCAGTTGAGCATCTGACTGTTGATTTCAGCTGAGGTCTTGATCCCAGGGTTGTGGGATCAAGCCCCACGTTGGGCTCCGCGCTGAACACAGGGACTGCTCGGGATTTTCTCCCCGTCTCCCTTTTTCTCTCTCCCCTGCCCGCTGGCCCTCTAAACGAGAAAAATGATTTTTAAATCTTCCCACCCCCCAAAATAATATATCAAGCCCAAATATTTTCTCAGGTAACTTTTACCAAACCTATAAAGAACAAATAGTTACTAAGAATTAAAAAAAAAAAAAATTTAAGGGAAAAGAGGGTAACTATGAAAATCAGAAAAAGAACATCCACAACGTGAATATTATAGACTAGCTTCAATTATGAACATAGTGGCAAAAATCCTAAGTAAATAAAATATTTACAAATCATGTCCAGCACATATTTTTGAAAATACTTAATGACCAAATGGTACTTATCCGAGAAATGCAAAGATAGCTCAATATCAGTATATCTAATAATACAGTTTTATGTATTATTATCTTTAGATGAAAAATATTATTATGTTTGATATTATTTCTTCAAATATAGTCCATGGTATTTATTATGTAGATTATAAGAGCTCTCGTGGGTGGGGAATGTTTCTTGTATCTCCTTTCTAACCCCGTAGAGCTTCACACATCATCTTACGTAGACTAGACTTTCCGAAAACGATTCATTCATTCATGTATTCATTCACTCAGCAAACATTTATTAACCACCTTCTGTGTGCAGAAACTGTTAGGGTATGAGGATATAGGTTGAATAAAACATATTCTTCGGCATATGAATTCTACTCAAAAGGTAGGGTGTTTACAAGATGTGAAAATACTTATGCTTTAATATAATTGCTACCATAGGAGGTATGTACAAAATACCACTGGAGCCTCGGCAAGGCCATGGTTAGTTTTAACTCGTTGGAGACCATTTCACTAAAGAAATGATATCTAACTCTAAGAACGAGTATAGAAGAGAAAGGTTGGATGAAGCCCTTTGGTACTAGAGAGGTTTGACTCTCTCTTACTGAAAATTGGAAGCTATGGGAAGTTTTCATACAGGGGAATGGCATTGTTCGGTTCTGTGCTTTAGAAAGGCTCTCTGATGGCAGAATGGAAGAAAGATTGGCAGAATTACTGGCAGACCGAAGGCAAGAAAGTCTGTTAGGGGCCCAAGGCGGTTGATGAAGGTTTCGCCGACAGATGGATGGAGCTGGTTCGAGGCAAGAAAGCTTGAAGAGGCAAGATCCGGTGACAGTGAACAAGGGAGGTGCCACCAGGGCTTGGTTCCTTCTGCTTGGGCTCTCCACTGGACCATGTATTTTCTCTGGCACCATTAAGGAGCACTTGTTGGCTTGGGAAGGCATAGGGGACAATGAGGATGGGTTTGTCCCTGTTGAGTTGGTCGTGGGACAGCCAAGTAAAGGTGTTCATGAATCTGGAGTCCAGGAGAAAGCTGGAGGTCAAAAATGAAGAAGACCTGAGGATTGACCTCAGATATAAGTAATAATCAGTGCCGTAACTTCACACTTGACTTTCTCTTTTTTTCTCTCTCTTTTTTCTCCTAGGATGCTCTCATTTAAAATATGCTTTTGTAGTTATCTCTGAGGCAATCCCCACAGTGTAGCTGCTGTTCCAGATAGAAGCAGGAAGAAGAGAGCTTAGAAATACCGTGGCAATAGGCTTGAGTTCTCCACACATCCGTCATGTATGAGGGCGAGCGGTACTCAGCTAACATGGACACACCCAGAGCGTGTGAGA